ACATTGCATGCTCATGTGAAAGGGAGCCCACGGGAATGTGGGAAATGCTGCGCCATTGACCTCTACATGTGTTTTATGGCCCACTAGCTTTGGGTCTCAGTCCTTGAACTGGTCCAAGGATCTCCATTGCTGTATTCCTTCCAACAGACAAGCACCATTACTGCATGGAAGACTGTCCATGTTTCGGTTCTTTGGGGGTTGCTCCAATTATCGGGATAATTGTGCCAGGCACATCAGTCTCCTGCTCTGGGTGGGACTGGAGGGCGCAGAAGGCCATCCTGTGGCTCTGTATGGATTAGAACTGGGACCTTTCATGGAACTCTCCATGTCTTTAACTGCTGAGCCACCTTCATTTCTCAAATGCCGGAAACACCTTTGGTTTACCATTACTGACTAAACCAGTGGTTCCCAGCCTTGGGTCCCCAGATGTTCTTGGACTAAAATTCTCAGAAGCCTTCACCACTAGGTGTGCTGGTCAGGGAGTCACAGTCCAAGAACATCTGGAGATCCAAGGTTAGTCACAGACCAAGAACATCTGGAGATCCAAGGTTGGGAAGCCCTTGTCTAAACAAAGGGTCCTGTAAGCCAGTGGTCCCCAACCTTGGGCCTCCAGATGTTCGTGGACTTCAACTCTCATACATCCTGCCAGATGTTCTTGGACTTCAACTCTCATAAATCCTGGCCAGCAGAGGTGGTGGTGAAGGCTTCTGGGAGTTGTAGCGCAAGAACATCTGGAGGCCCAAGGTTGGGGACCACTGCTGTAAGCCATGAAATCCAGAGGCTAAAACTTCTCCATCACCGGGCAGAATTGGGGTCTTAGAAGAACTTGTGGTCACCTTCATTCTGGGTGACCCCCTCCTTCCACCCAAAGGCTCAGAAACCTAGCATGGTAAAGGTCCTTAAGGTGGCTTGGAAAGGTGTTTCCATTCCCTCTGGGGCTACACCCTGCCTAACAGGGAACTGGGGCTTACAAACCCCCATCATTCTTGGTGCAAAATTGCCCCCAAGTCTCTGGGTGTGATGTTTGGTGAGCTGAAGGCCCCCCCCAATAAGACAGGGTTCCCATTTTTCACAAGGCTTTGCATGTCCCTGAAACTGGCTATGCTTACCCAGAAAGTGTGTTGGGTCTTTTCAAAACATTTCTGATGCTAATCTGTGTTGGCGACCCCCTTCACGAAGCTGAGACTTTCGCAGCTGAAGGCCATCCAGCATGAGCGTGGCTGTCTTGCCTGCTCTGGGTTGTGTCAGATCAGCTTTGATCGCTCCATAAACACACGGTTTGTGCTGAGTTGAGTGTTTAAGTAAGTAGCACCAAAGACTGCATTAGGTAATGGTTATATTTAGCCAGCCAGATTTTGGAAAAAGTCAAGCTTCTCTAAATACAAGCATCAGTGTGCTCCTCATAATTCACTTGTGGAAATAAGAAAACAAATTAAGCTGTGTTTGGACAAGCAACTGGCCTTCTTAATGCAGAATTAGTTACTCACTGCTCATGTCTTGATGCTTAATCTCATGTAAACTCTGCTAGTGGCCCATAAGTTGTGGCCAACTCAATGAGATATTTAAACCAGAGATGCATCAATACTAGGAGAGGGCAGATGAGACGTGTGCCACTGTCGTGGTTGTTACATTCTGGCCAATGAACAGGGTGGATAGAGATGGAGGAAAACAATATCAAACAAGCTTAGAAGATGGGGACAATGTGTTGACTCTGCCATGCAGTCTATGGAAATACATTAAGCAGAAGAGCATGGATACTCACTGCATTCATTTTTAAAAATCAACTCTTCCATCTACCTTGGAAATAGAAGTGCTTAATGCTGGGGATATACGTAATTGGTTCATGTAACCCAGCACCGATGGAGGTCAATGATTTCACAACATGGTTGTGGCACTGGTTTCATTTGGGGTATTGATTTGAATGCTATACGAGCTCTCCATGGTGCTGAACCTTAGGTCGGGGAAAGGGCTCAGCAAATCAGAGCACTCCTGTAAAGTTATGGCTAAAACCTGAAATGGATTCACTGCCCCCTTCGGGCTGGAGTTACCAGCTGCCGCTGACCAGGAGCAGGGGAATCTTTGCTCCTGTGGGATGATTTAATCGACAGCTCCTATCACTCTCACCCAGCACGGTCAATGATGATAGCCTGAGGTTATTTTCAGCCCAAACCATCTGGTGCACCTTCAGTTCTTCATCCTTGATCTGGCTCCGGATGTCTACTTTTTGAGAGAAATGTCACTCATTGGTAGAGCACATTCCTTGTAGGCTGGAGCTTTGAAGTGATTTTTGGCAGAAATGGGCCAGGGGGAAGAACATGCCCGTACCTGATTCTTCAAGGACCTTCGACATCTCCAGCTCATGTAGACCATCCAGAGCTAGGGGGACTGGAGAACAGAAGCCTTGTAAATCATCAAAGTACATTCTCCTCTGACTAGGACCACATTAATACTTTCCTCCTAACTACCAGCATTGCATTCGGGTTCCACTCTGTTGAAGGACCTACAGTTTGAATCTTATCTTCACCATAGGCTAGTAGGGGTTAAGACGTAGGCCATCTATAGCCTCTCAGCTTCGACGCTCCAAATCTTGGTATGACGAACAAGTTGGGATTTCTTTTCACAGTTACAAATCAAATTCCTCTTTATTTATTCAGAAGCAGGCTCCTCTTTCTCCTTCCTGACGGCTTCGTGCTGTGAATGTCTCCGAAACCCAACCCAAGCCTGCCCATCAGCCCGTCATATAAACAATGGGATGAATTGACATTCCTCCCAAAACACCCTCAGCAAAGGATCTGGCCACACACAGCTTTCCCCCCCCCACCTCCCTTTGGGACCGATCGTGTCCGAGCTCAAGATTAACCCTAACTGTGGTTTTATTTCGGGACTTTGTGTTGATTAGACAAGGTGAAAGGAAGAGATTCAACCATTTTATTTACTAAGAGGGCTGCTGATTGGGCAAAGTGGAAGCATTTGCAGCTGGCGGTTTCATCATCACTCTTTTGTTATAGTAGAACCTCAAGTCAAATATATCAAGGAGGTAGAGCTCCACGTAGGAGACAGTTATATCCATTCAAAGCTGGATTAAAAGCAGACAGGGTGGCACAGCTAACTCAGTGTCTGAAGTCTTTCCACCTCAGCCAGATCCTGGGCTCCTTCCCCCCCCCCAACACACACACACACACACACACACATGTCTCCATTCTCTGAGAAGAGGAGTTGAGTAAAAAAGCACCTTCCTGTCATCAGAATAAGGGCATTTTCCACCCAATAGAGTTCAAGAAAGCACAGTTGAGTTGCCAGTTCAGAAAAAATAAAAAAAACGGTGGCGCCAACATAGCAGAAGGGCATCAAAACTCTTCTCACTCCCGCTGTGTCAGGAGCCACAACTTTCTCAACAGCTAACTCTCAAAGAAAGAGAGCAAAATCACAGTTCTCTCCTCCACCCCCACCCCTCCACTTTCTCTCCACTCCCTCGAGTTCCAAGAGATGGCCCAAGGCCCAGAGCTTTTTGGCCACGGACTGCGCCGCCAGGAGAATTTCTTTGAGCTGGGCGAGCCATTGCAAGCTGTTCCTTGTGGGGAAGGGGGGGAGAGAGAGAGACACACACTCTGGATGCCACTGTGCATTTCTATTAATTTGCCCTACAGAGGTCCCTTGCATTTCGTCGCATCACGCCTGAGTGGAGCTGACCTCACCAGCTTCTCCCGGTTCCCACATCAAGTTGTTTGGCACTTTGGAATCTATCAGAGAAAGGAGGCATCCTGAGGAGCTAAAGTGGGCTGCCAAAGACACACAGAAGGTGTGTGTGTGTGGAGACAGAGAGAGAGAGAGAGAGAGATCTTGTCGTCCCTTGATACAACAGATTATTCCAACTGGAAGCTCAGTGGTTTCCTGTAAGTGTCTGGCCACTTTGGAGAGTCAAGTAGCTGTTCCTGTTGAATTATGAAGCCCACTCGGTGACTTTGGAGCAGTCCTGTCCTGTTTCCTCAGCCTCCTCTAACAGTTAGAGATGGGGAGAAAAGTCAAGTCTACCGACCTCAGTGATTTAGGCAACTGGCTATGGAGCCAAAGGTTAGGACCGGCGCAAGGCGAGCATGGTCTCGGTAGGATCGGTGACCTCCAAGTAGGACCAGCGCAAGGCAAGCATGGTCTCGGTAAGATAGTGACCTCCAAGTCTCTGGGGCTATCCAGGTCTGTGTGCAAAGAGGGGCTCACTTTAGAAACCAAGGCTTTATGTGCTTGAATGGGGGGAAAACACAGTTGCATCTTGTCAAAGGCATCTAAGCATACTCAGGGTGTGGACAGATGACTGCAACGTTATGCATGTGATCACAGCATTAAGATAAACTGCTTTAACTGCTGGATTGCTCAGCGGTTTAGGCCTCTGGCTATGGAGCCAGCGGTTGAAAGTTCGATTCCCCCCTGGGCCTCCTTGACAGGGGCCGGACTAGATAATCCATAGGGTCCCTTCCAGTTGTGCACTTCTGAGATGATTAAGAACTGCTGGATAGCTCAGTAGTTTAAGGTCTCTCTGCAGAACCAGAGGTTGGGAGTTTGACTCCCCCCACCCCATGGGCCTACTTGACAGGGGCCAGACTTGATGATTTATAGGGTCCCTTCCAGCTCTGCAGTTCTAAGATGAGAATGGAAGGGGGACATCTTATGTCTTGCTTCCATAAAAAGGAACACAAGGTGAGCCCAAATAACAATTAGATGTGGGCTCAGAGACTAAGATCTGGAATCTAGTTGAGTCATCCCTCACCCATCACAGTTCCATGTTTCTTCCCAGGCTCAAACCCAGGTTCTTCTGAAGAGCCCCAAGACCCCAAGAGATGGTATCTCACCATAGTTAAGGCACTGCCTCTGTTCCCTCCTCCAAACCAGCAGCTTGAAGGTCTTGTTCATTTCCAGCTGTCCTCTTCCTTGGAGGTCACGGCACTGCCATGACTTTGGTTTCATAGAGAAGCTGGCTCACTGTATTGTCATTTCAACTATTGCAGGTGCAACAAGAGGAAGGAGAACTGGATGATCTTGTCTCATCTGAGGGTGGCTTTCTTATTCCGCTTTCGACTGTGAACACAAACCAACGTTAGAGTATTGCACAGGAACTAAGCCTCAATATGGGATTCCCTACCTGGTTTCTGGCTTTATTGGCCATGTCTCTATCCCCTCAAGATATTAACGGAGGACTCATCAAGAGAATCATTCGGCAGAAGAGGGAGACCGGGATCAACATGACGTTGCCCGAAGACAACCAACCGGTGGTCTTCAACCACGTCTACAATATCAATGTTCCAGTGGGCTCCCTTTGTTCTGTGGACTTAGACCCGGCCAGCGGGGACTCCGAACTCAAAACTCAGACGGAGCCCAGCAAACACTACCAGGAGCACACCTTGAATGAGGAGAACCAGATTGTCTTCACGCACAGGATAAACATCCCTCGTCGGGCTTGCGGTTGCGCGGCGGCCCCAGATATCAAGGATCTGTTGAGCAGGCTGGAAGAACTGGAGGGCCTGGTGTCCTCTCTACGAGATCAGTGTGGTAGTGGTGCTGGGTGCTGTCCTAGTGGACAAAACGTGGAAGGTAAGGAAACTGAGAAACAAGAAAAGACATCTCTTTTTTCTACTGTGTGCTGGCCTCCTTGTGTACGTTGCCATTTAGCTTGGCTTTACTTTGTGATTGGCTGCAGGGAGGTAAGCAGGGACTTCATTAACCAATCTAATTGCTCAAGCAAAGTATCCTGTTGATACCCATGAACTTTCAAGGAAGGAGGGCAGTCTTCAATTAGACCGAGAAGTTTTTCTCATCCTTTAGGTATCTGGGGTGTTTTGGAATGGCAGCTTCCATGCCCCTATGTTGTTGGCCATGCTGAAACATCTGGAGGGTTGAAGGATGAGGGTCACTCATTTAGAGTAGTGGTTCCCAACCGTGGGTCCCCAGCTGCGCTGGTCAGGCTTTCTGGGAGTTGTAGTCCAAGAACATCTGGGGACCCAAGGTCGGGACCCACTGACCTGAAAGATTTTCTGTCTGCACGAATGAGGAGGACAAAAAAGAAGGGTGGATTTAAGAATGTGTTGGGAAAAGTCAACTGGTAGATAATGGGCATAAAGTATATGCATTTTATACATTGATTCTCATTAATAATACATGTTAACATTTTAGACGGACTTTTCCCGAGAGCCTTCCAACACAGCCCGAATCCAGAATGCATAAAACATTCACGGTTTAGAAGGGAAGTCCATAATGAATCCTGTTAAGAGTCCTGCACTCTGCAATGTGCCAGCTCTTTATCTGTGCCTGAAACAGCGGGGTGCCGATGGAGCATCTTGGTTTCTTGCGGCATCCAGCTTCCTAATGCAGCTCATGAGGCAGAGCTGGGCTTCAAAGCTTTTACACTGAGCAATGGTGTATTCAAAGGTGTAATACTTGGCCAGATCATTACCCTCTTCTCTGTTTGTATCCCATAAAAATATTTCTCCTGTATTACAATATAGGATTCCTTTCCATTCCTTGGTTGTGTTTATGTCACCATTTCCCTCCGCATGGGCTGCCAGGAAAAGACTGGTCTATGTTAAAGTACAGTTTCAGGTGTCACTGCCACGGCTCCTGGCGATCAAAACATGGGAAGCCACCTCGCACCAAGCCACGCTGTGGATCCAGCTTGCCAAATAGGGTTCATGCTGACATAGAGGAAGCTCTCTGTGGTTTCCAGCTGGTTTTCATCTCTAGCTTTACCTACAGAGGGTGGGAAAGGAAACTTACAGGAGGCAGACAGGGATCCCCAAGGCTGCCGGGGGGCTTGGCAAGTCTGCTTCAGGTTTTAGTCCGAACTTCCAAGGAGGGTGCCCAAGGTTCTGATCCTCTTTGGGGCAAGGAGAGCTCATTGCTTTGGAAAGCTCCTATGGAGGTCCGGTTAAGACCCAGAACAGAGTCACTGTCTGCCTGACACTGGAGTCAACCCGCCTCTACCAACCTTACGACAGGAGAATGCAGAGTGTGCTCCGGTGCTGAGCTTCAACCTCACCTTCAGATGCATCCGTAGATATGGCAAACATCATAGAATTGATTTTCATGATTTAATTTCAGAACTTTCCCCGATTTGAATGGGAATTAAGAAGGAGGGGAGTGTGGGCCTTAGAAGAAATGAGGGACATAATCCCATGGTTCCCAAGCTTGGGTCCCTAGTTGGACTACAACTCCCATAAATCCAGGCCAGCAAAGTTAGTGGTGAAGACTTCTGGGCGTTTTAGTCCACGAACACCTGGGGACTCAAGAATGGGTCATGATACGTTCCTTCACTTCGCTTCTTGCACCTTCAGCCGTGGGACCAACGTGTGTTCTTCTTTCGTGGTTCTAGGTCGCACCGATGGGAACCACTGTGCCGATTCATGATACGTTCCTTCGCTTCGCTTCCTGCACCTTCAGTTGTGGGACCAATGTGCGTTCTTCTTTCGTGGTTCTAGGTCGCACCGATGTCGCCCCCTATTGCAGCGGACGTGGAAATTACAGCAACGATATCTGTGGCTGTATCTGCGAACCTGGGTGGAAAGGACCCAACTGCTCGGACCCCGAATGCCCCTCGAATTGCAACAGCAGGGGCCGGTGCATCAATGGCAAGTGTCTTTGTGACGAAGGCTACACCGGAGAGGACTGCGAGCAGCGGACATGTCCGGGCGACTGCAACGACCAGGGTAAATGCGTTGATGGGCGGTGCGTGTGCTTTGAGGGCTACGGGGGTGAGGACTGCAGCCTGGAAGTGTGCCTGCCGCCCTGCAGCACACACGGCAAGTGTGTCAATGGGCAATGCCTCTGTGATGAAGGCTTCAGCGGGCCCGACTGCAGCCAGTCCTTGTGCCCCAACAACTGCCACAACCGAGGCCGCTGTGTCGAAGAGGAGTGCGTCTGCGACGAGGGATACACCGGGGAAGACTGTGGCGAGCTTGTCTGTCCCAACGACTGCTACGACCGAGGGCGTTGCGTCAATGGGACCTGCTATTGCGAAGCCGGGTTCACGGGAGAGGACTGCGGGGAGGTGGCCTGTCCCAACGACTGCCACGGCAATGGCCGGTGTGAGAATGGGGTGTGTGAATGCTACGAAGGCTTCACAGGGGACGACTGTGCGGACCGGAGGTGCCCCAACGACTGCCACCGGCGTGGGCGTTGTGTTAATGGGCAGTGCGTGTGCAGTGAGGGCTTCTTGGGGCCTGACTGTGGAGAAGTGAGGTGCCCCAACGACTGCCACAACCGAGGGCGTTGTGTCAATGGCCAGTGTGTGTGTGATGAAAGGTTCATGGGGGAGGACTGTAGCGAGCTGAGATGTCCCAACGACTGCCACAACCGAGGGCGCTGCATCAATGGCCAGTGTGAGTGCGATGAGGGCTTCATGGGGGACGACTGCGGAGACCTGAAATGTCCCAACGACTGCCACAACAGAGGGCGTTGCGTCAATGGGCAGTGCGTTTGCGACGAGGGCTTTGTGGGTGAGGACTGTGGGGAGCGGCGGTGCCCCAATGACTGCCACAGCCGGGGCCGCTGTGTGGACGGACAGTGTGTGTGTGAAGAGGCCTTCACAGGGGTGGACTGTGGAGAACTGAGGTGCCCCAACGACTGCAACAACCAAGGCCGCTGTGTCGACGGCCAGTGCGTGTGTGATGAAGGCTACACCGGGGAAGACTGCGCCGAACGGCAATGTCCCAACGACTGCAACAGCCGCGGCCTCTGCGTCAACGGCGTGTGTATGTGCAACCAGGGCTTTGTGGGCGTCGACTGCCTCGAATTGGCTTGCCCCAACAATTGCCACGACCGTGGCCGTTGCATCAACGGCCAGTGTGTGTGTGACGAGGGCTACACCGGGGTGGACTGTGGCCAACGCCGGTGTCCCAAAGACTGCAGCAACCGGGGGCGATGCGTCGACGGGGTGTGCGTGTGCGACGAGGGATACCAAGGGGTGGACTGCAGCCAACGCTCCTGCCTCAACAATTGCAACGATCTCGGTCGCTGCGTAGATGGGCGATGTGTTTGCGAAGAAGGCTACGTCGGTGACGACTGTTCTGATGGTAAGTTCCACCCAAAAGTTGACCATCGCTGACTATTGTTGTCATTAACGGATGTGATTTATGTGCCGCAGTAAATTGGGACCTGCTCATCATGGCCATCTCCCTCAGCTGCTCTCTCAGGGGAGTCCAAAATGCAGCCAGCTGTATCATTGATCCATATCAGCCAATGAGGGGTAGTTCTGTTGTCAAGCCGAGGGGCTCTTAATGGCCCATTCAAGACTGAACCACCGTCCATAGTCTGTATTACAAAAGAGATTGTATGCAACACGGCAATCTTCCTGTAGAAATCAATTCATTTCTCTCCCAACTGCTGGGAAGACTGTATTTAAGCTCAGAGGGAGCAGAGAAGCTGGGTCAGATGGTATCATGATGATAATAATAAATAATAATGTGCTGTCGAGTCAATTCTGTCTTAGGGCAACCCTTTCCAAGGTTTTCCAGATAGAGAATATGCAGAAGTGGTTTCCCCTTCCCTTCTTCTGGGGGGTGCTCTGGGACTGTGCAGCTGGCCCAAGGCCACGCAGGCTGGCTCTGCTTGCAAGGGGCACAGTGGGGAAGTGAACTCCCAACCTCTGGGTCCTCAGCCAGATGTGACCTGGATATAGCATTCCACTGCACCAGGATGACAGCTCTGTCCTCTCCCATTCCTTTATTTTGCTAATTTTCTTCTGCAAAGATCCTGTGCTTTCAAACTCCAGAGGGAGTGGACCATTCCCTGCTAGGGGAGTGAGGTTCACAATGGCACTTGTCTGGTGGCATGTCCTCCTGAACATGCAGATGAGCATTTAAACAACAAAATGAATTTTCACCTACATATCCTTTACTTCTTAAATACATTAGTTAGTTATGTGCTAACTAATGCATTTGGATTCAATCGCGACACTAATAGGGTCTTCAAGGTAAGTGATACATTGAGAGCAGTGGTCCCCAACCATGGGCCTCC